CTAATCGGCAGAGAACGAAATGACCTACTGTTTCTACCTGCTGACAGGCTTAGCCTTGGGAGGGGCCGAAATTAGCTCTTACCACATGGCAAACATGCCTTTCTCTTTTTTTTCCTCCTTTCATACAAATAGGGGGTAATTTTATGCCTGTCATAATACAACTTTGAAGTGTAGATAACCAGTAAACAACAGCTCCACCCCCTCCCCCCAACTTGGAAAGCACATTAATGCTTACCTAAATAACTGGAGAATCAGGTGATAAATAATCTCCCTGAAAGGATCCAGTTTGAAAATCCTGTCATAATTGGTGTTCTTTGGGAAATGCTAATAGTCCCATCAAGCTCAGAAAATATGTTGCTTTAAAGAGGTACAAGGATGAATGACCAGCCTAGTGTCCAGGCGACTCAGACCATGTAGCGTCGTGTTTCCATACATTTCTGCTGCTATATCCTTTCTGTGAGCAAGGAGGCTTTGGAACATTATAATCTTGGGCAGATAACGCTGTGCATTTCAGTCCTATTTTCAGTGTTGTTATCTGTTGGAAGAGGAAGCTTCCCTGCCCATTTTGTAAGCACATAACTGGCAGGATCTGTTGCAATCTCATATTCTTCCGATCAGCTCCTCCTCAGCAGCAGTCAGAGTGGAGGCCTCGTGAAACACACTCTGGCCAAATGATTGCGGCGAGTTTCAAAATAAGAGATCTTAGCCTGAGCGTATCCTTGCACTTCCTATCCCATAGAACCAGCATTGTTAGCTGTGCCACATCTCTATTCTAAATTTAGACATCTTTTTTTTTTCCAGGCAAAGATTACTATGAAAACATTTAAAAGAAAAACTTTGCCCAAAGTAATTTTTTCCCCCAACTTCTATTTGGTTTCCTGCAATGTTTAGATGACGCATTCTCTTCCAAGAAATGTTAAAGAAAAAAGATGCAGGCTGTATATCAGTGCACAAAGACTGCTCTGTAAATTCTTATTCTTTTTTGCCTAAAAACCTCTTGCTTTTTTATAAAGAACGGAAAGCCTCTGCAGTTTTCATTGTCGTGTACTCGGCCTCATCAGGTTTTGTTGTTCCCAGAAATAAATGTCTCCCTTGTATTTGGGTGGGGCCCCCTTGCGGCTTCCCAGCTCTGTCAACCCCTCCACAGTGGCCAGCACGGAAGCTCTTTCTGGGGCCACGCTTTCCCCTCCCCGAAGGCACACAGTTACAGTTTCTGAAATAGACAATTGGTGGCCTTTTGTCATCTGTGAAAAGAGAGACACTGGCAATTTCCTGCCTCTGGCCTTGTGTCAGAATTGCTCCTGATGGCTAGGGGCTTTATTGTACATTTTAACTGGGCTTCTACACATGTATTCCCAGCCCAACCCTCAGCAAGAGGGAGCGGTTAGTCAGATCACTTCAGCAGCCTGTTCAAATAAACAGGGATAATAGTTGAGTGGTCCTCCCAGCTAATCAGTATATGAAAGGAAACATCTGCCTGGGCTTAATTGCTATTTTATTGGTTACATCCCCCCCCTTTTTCTCCCCCTCCCCACTCTGGGACTAAGTTATTTAAGTCATGGGTAAGTAACAGGGTAGAGGAATAGGAGCTTTCTCCTTTAACCTCTGTCATTTAAACAAAAGGAAATGGTGAGAAAGGCTGGGAGGCTGGCAGGGGGAGCTGGCCGGGAGGCGGAGGGCAGGGCGGTGGGAAGTGATACTCTTGGTCACTTCCTCGCCCTGTTGCTGACTCAGGCTGGCAGTGAGTCATTGTGCCTCACTTCAGCTCCGTGGGCCTCTACTGCTTCAGTGGAGCTCAGCTTTCCTCTTGATGAGAAAGAGAGGCTGGTATGTGAGACTGTAGATGAAAGGCATTCCCTCTTGTGGCTTCTTCCAGTAGTTGAAGTCATTGGATGAGAGACACTGGGAATGGTAAATTTGAGACTGGCAAGGTGCCCCTGAAGCCATCCATTTTGTAGAGCATCTGAGTCCCTGAGGAGAACTTGCTCATTATCTTCTACTTTAGAGTGTAAAGCCAGCTCACTGGAGGGGTGATATTTAAAACTAATATGGACTTAAGAAGTCAGGCAAAAATCATGTAGAATCATAGAAAGGCAGAATTTGGAAAAGACCTCAGGAATGTTTTAGCTGAAGACTTTCATTTTATGGAAGGGAAAACAGGCCCAGAGAGAGCAATCAGGTCATCCAAAGTTATCTACTTGGTAATGGAGGAACTAGGAATAAGGGAGAATCTTGTGATTGTATTTTTGGTTCCTTCGAATCCTTCTCCCCACTACCAGGTGTAAACAAATCCATGCCTCCTCTTGACAGAGATCACATATATTTCATAATGAAGACCTTAATAGAAAAATAGCAAACCAGCCAGGCATGGTGGCATGTGCCTGTATTCCCAGTTACTCGGCAGGCTGAGGTTTAATCAAAGGACTACAAATTACAATAGGCTAACACCTCAAATTGTCAAGACACAACAAAAAGTGAAATAAGCATTCTTATATGCTGCTGGTGCAAATTTAATTCATACACTTTTTCTCAAGGGCAATTTAATGGTATAAATGAACAGTCTTTGACCCGGCACTGTTACTTCTAGGAGAAAAAAATGAAAGATATGTTCCTAGATTATATATAAAGTAATTTAACCCACTATTTTTATCACAAAAATTCACAAGCAAAGTAAATGTCCAAGAATAGGAGTTACATCAACTTAATGTAGTATAATGCTATAGAATAGTAATACCTGGGGAGAAGGTTCACAACATATATTAAGAAATAAATTAAGACGGGCTCGGTGGCTCAACCTGTAATCCCGCACCTTGGGAGGCTGAGGTGAGTGGATTGCCTGAGTCCGTGGGTTCGAGACCCGCCTGAGCAACTTGGTGAGCCCTCGTTTCTACAATAAATCAAAAATCAGCTGGGCGTGGTAGCGCGCCCTGTAGTTCCAGCTACTTGGAAGGTTGAGGCTGAAGGACTGCGGGAACCCAGCAGGTCGAGGCTGCGGTGGCCGTGAGCGTGCCACTGCACTCCAGTCTGGGCAATAGAGTGCGACTCCCACTCAAAAAAAAAAAGAAATTATAAACAGATTTTATAATGCAATCCCAGTTTTATAAAAATTATGAGAGAGAAGGTTAAAAAACATATAACAAAGTCTGGAATGGTAATTTTTTTTTTTTTTTTTTTTTGAGTTGGAGTCTCACTCTGTCACCCAGGCTGGAGTGCCTTGGCACACTCTCGGCCACTCTAGCGTCGACCTGCTGGGCTCTGGCGATCCTTCTGCTTCAACCTTCCAAGTAGCCAGAACTACAGGGGTGTGCTACCACATCTGGCTAATTTTTTACTTATTGTAGAGACTAGGGCTCACCAAGTTGCCCAGGCTGGTCTCTAGCCTGTGGACTCAGGCAATCCACTCACCTCAGCCTCCCAAAGTGCTGGGATTACAGGCTGAGCCACCGAACCCAGCCGAGTGGTAATTTCTTAGTGGTAGCAAGTAAGGATTACTTTTTTTTCTTTATTGAGGTTTTTTACAGTTTCCTTATTTATTACAATAAACATATATTTGTTATCAGAAAAAAATTTTTTTAAGTAGAGATGTAACCCAAGATTTTTGTTTTTTGAGTTAGAGTCTCACTCTGTCCCCCAGACTGGAGTGCAGTGGCCGCTCCCTGCCACTGCAGCCTCGCCTTCTGGGCTCCGACGATCCTTCCGCCTCAGCCTTCCGAGTAGCCGGAACTACAGGTGTGCGCTACCATGTCCAGCTAATTTTTTGATTTATTGTAGAGATGAGGGCTGGCCAAATTGCCCAGCAGGTCTCGAACCCGCAGGTTTAGGCAATCCACTCACCTCGGCCTCCCAAAGCACGGGATTACAGGCTGAGCCACCAAACCTGGCTGAGTGGTAATTTCTTAGTGGTAGCAATTAAGGATTACTTTTTTTCTTTATTGAGGTTTTCTACAGTTTCCTTATTTATTACAATAAACACATATTTGTTATCAGAAAAAAAAAATTTTAAGTGGAGTTGTAACCCAAGATCTTAAATGATTATGTTTCTAGCATTCATGAAAGCCATCTTCTTTTCTTGGCTTGAGAGTGGAGCTATGTGGGGGCAGGGCAGTGTTTTAACTTCTCTTATGAGGGTGTTGTTGGAATCTGAATTTTTAGTAGGTAAGAACTAGAAGAAGCAAAGATAAAACAAGGGCTTCCCCCTTTCAATGACCCAGTGATGCCAATGAACTTTATTATCTGCTCTCTTGGGCTTGGCATATAACACTTAGTATAGAAGGCGTGATAATTTCCTTCCTGCTTCTTCATTCTTCTCTATTTTTACTGTTCTTTCTAAGTAGTTCGATGCCAGACCTGGGAGGCAGCAGCAAAAAACCTGAAAGCCACTACTACTCAGGATTAACCAGTTGGAGAACCCTTAGCATATATTATCAGAATATAACATTAATAACATAGCTAATCTCACAAGCAATCAATATTGAGAAATCACTGTCTTGGGAGTTTGGAGTGGAAATAAAGCAAGTAAGAAATATGGTTACTTCTTGCTTGGAGTTTCCTACTTAGTTAGGGACTTTGAAATCCTTGAATGCTTATATACTTTTTCCTGTCTCATCCTATTACCCATCTTACTTTCCTTTGAAATCCTGGAATGCTTGACTACAAGTATCTGAGAAAGTGTGTTCCACCTAACAACAGTTGCTAGGTAGGATGTGGCTTTCAGGCCTGTTCTTTGGGGACCAATAGAAAAATCAAAGGCTACAACCCTTTTTCCTTCCACACGATTGCCTTTGCTAGGCTATAGAAAGGGCACATTTCATTTTATTAAAACTCTTTGAGTAATCTGACCATAATTGGGTCTGATTGGAGTGGTTATCCGATTTGCTGCGTTAAATAATGGGCCTTAATTGAGTCTGGGTTATTTGTAGAGCCAGTGCTGCTCTTGCCTTTGTTGCCCCCTCCTCCTTCCTTCTGTTTCCTAATTAACCTTCATTCCTCTTTCCTTGCAGAGTAAAGAAGTCGGACAGCAGCTCCAAGATGATTTGATGAAAGTCCTGAACGAGCTCTACTCGGTAAATCAGATGGGTTGCTTGGCTCTTTAACAAGCAGAGGGAAGCAGCATTTGGCAGCTTGCAGCCCTAGTCACGTCAGCAACAGAACTGAACTGAGGATGAGGACAGTGCATGGTCCCCGTTGGGGGTGACTCCACCCATCTCATTTTTTACACTCTTATTTTCAAAACTGAATAAACCAAAAAATACTTTCTCAAAATAAGATTTCTCCTCTGCTGTTGCAAGCTCACCCTGGCTTCATTTGGAGCACAATCACTAAGTGACCTGCCAAGGCCTAGGTTACCAGCACAATTGATTCCATTAGCAGCAAACAAGGGACCCCGAACCTAGTGGCAAGAAACAGAGCCGGCATTGCACCATTAATGTGTACCTGTTGGAAAGGATTTATTGTTCAAGGTTTTGGATCAGATCTTGTGTTGATTACTCGTTTGAGACTAAAATGGATGCTCTAAAAGGAAGCAAAGAGTCCTAAATTCCCCTAACTTGAAGGACCAGTTCAGGCAGAGAGAGCTTTGTACCAGCTTCCTAGAGTTTTATAAAGGCCAAACCTCAGTGAAGAGACAGGCTGCAGGCTTAGAGAAGAGAACACAATCTGTTCTGAAATGACTGGCACTTCAGGCATATTATGCCTGTGGCTGATGTGTGTTGTGTTAATTCATGCACTGAGAGTTGGTGGTGGTGGTTGTTCCCCCAGCCATATTTTGCCAATTATAATACAAATTAACACACATGCACAGCAAGGAAATTCCCATTGTCATACAGGGAATACTTAAATTGTACAGCTAATGCCTTTCAGGTACCCCCTTCTCCATCTTAGCAGTACTAGCCTTCTGGTCATTCTCCAGGGTTGCCCCATCCTGTTTGGAGAGGGTATTGATTTCCTGCGTTTACTTGCTTACTTGCTGCATCTTTTTTTTTTCTTTTCT